TCGCCCCGGCTCACCCGGGAGGGCTGATACCATCTAACAACACACACATAGGCCAGATAGCGTACAGTACCTGCTTCAACACAGCTGCTGCTACAAAAGCAGGGAGGAAACCATGGCTGGAGTCATTAGAAAAACACCACTATGCAGAGAAAGCAAGGTGGAAAAATACAGGAAGTCCTGCTACAAGTGCAACGACTGAGACAGGCAGCTGAAGTTAGAGGCGCAGAGGGATAGAGGAGGCAGACAGGGTGATGCAGCTAGCTGAAATATGAGGTAAAATTAATGCTTGAAATGATGGAGAAACAGTCTAACAATCACATGAAAATCTTAGCAAAGACAGAATTTCTGTTATTCACCAGTGCAATGACATATTTTGGGGTTTCGGAAGTGAGTTTTGAAAAGCAGATTTTTGAGTAGAGGTATATTTTCTGTAATGTGATGCATGACTCACTGCTCTTCTCTCTTTCTCTCTCCTTCTGTCTCCCTAATCTTGCAGCTAAATTTAGTACTGGCATAATGCCCTTCTAGACAGACAGGCTGGCAGCAGCATTTAGGTCCTCTCCTCCTCTCCTCTCCTCTCCTCTTTTCTTTTGGTTTCTTATCACCTCTTCTCCTAGCCTTATTCATTTCTTCTCCTTTCCATTCTTTCCTCTTTTGTGTCCTTTCCCCTCCTCTCCTCCTGGACAGATATAAAAGGCCTCTACCTCTCCTATACATCTAGGAGCAAGACTCACATATTGTGCAGCCATGTGATTTCAATATTATAACATGTAGTATATAATGTTTGTGAAAAAAACAGGATTAAAATTTGTAAGTAGAAAGCAGGTTAAAAAAAACTGCTGTTAAATGCTGATTAGCTAAAAGCTAATTAGCCTAGCCTAGCTGAGTGGCTTAACCACTGACTAGTGGAATTCACAAGATTCCATGTGGTTGAACTACTTCAAAACCATGTTTTTAATATCTTTATTTCAAATGTAATTTGTTAAAGTAACTATTTGGTCAAAGTAGACAAGAAAGTTGAAGAAGAAACAAGAACATATTTTGTATGTAAATAGTCCTACTGCATTTTCCCTTCACACTTTAGATGGTCCAACTGTGTTTTTTTTTTACATTTTATGTTAGATTTGTGACTATTATTAATAATTTGCATTAAAAAAATAAAAATTGAGGTTCTACAGGTTACATAGTTGCCTATATATCTGGCTAACAGGCTTCCAACTTCAGCCTTTTTTCTCAGCATCACTGTTTCTGTTTGCCTTTGTAAGACAGAAGAGCTCTCAAATAAGTATCAGTATTTGATTCTGAAATGTAATAGTGTGTAAAGTATAAAGTAGCATAAAACTGAAATACATGAGTAAACTGTCAGAACCTCAAAACTGTAAGTAATAAAGTTTTCCACACACACACTTTGAGTTTATACACCTTTGCACTGGGCAAATCTCTGACTCAGCAGTACAGATGAGAGGAGGAGAGGGAACAATATTATGTCTGATAACACCACGTCACAACACGCACACTCTGTTTCTCTGTACCCAATTCCCAGGGTGGCACTGTAATCAAAAATGCCTGTTTACCTTTCATTAGGGTTACTGTAAATGAGACATTAAAACAAAAGGAACAGGGGGTGGAGGAGAGGGAGGGGAGCGGAGGTCAAACAAGAGGGACATGGGAGACACAGGGACATTTGTGTGGATAAACAGTGACAGGAAGAAAATGAGAGGTTTATACAAAAAATAAGACATTTCCTTTAATAACATCTGGAACATCATGGTTGTATCCTGGTATAATTTTCAATATATCTGATGATGCATTATACACTTTTATGAGGACACTGAATTGATTAATTGGCATTTATATACTAATACAACATAAAACTGCATTGTTTTCTACAAAGACATTATAATTGGGCACAAATGGTGTAGCAGCAAATAAAGAGTGTATATTTTTTCTTTATACATAGCATATGAAGAGAAGAGATGCTTAAGCACAGCTAAAATGAAGTTACAAATACATCTCTACAGTGTGCACTATGCAATACACAAGCTTGTGGATTATAAAATCTTATATAGTTAAGTATAACAGGTCTCCATAGGCTACTAAGACACTGGAGGCTAGAACAGGGATACTTTTACAGTACAATGTAGACTGTGCAGATACAAAGCACACTGCTGTTTTATACTGACATAGGAGAGGATATTAATATGTGTATATCTTGAAATGTTGTGATGATGAAATGACTAGAGGCATCTCTAAATACTAATGTGTCCTGGTAGAATTAGTAATAGTTTTTTATTGTTCAGAATTACTACTTTAAAATAACAAACTTTGGTCATGATAAGTAACAGCTGGAGCCCCAGAGGCCCCCATAAAGTTATTTCAGTGCCACACCTCTTTTAGGTGGAATGTCATTGATATGTCATGTATGTCTGCATGAGTGGAGCGTTTCAATCTGAGTCCATTTGCTCCTTCAGTTCTGCCTTCAACAGAAATTATTATTCCAGTGGACTAATGTACAGTATGTGCTTTGCAATCTCAAACACAAGTGCAACCTGTACTGAAGTTCGGGGACTCTTAGGTTTCCCAAAGCATTTGTTTTATTGTTCCCAGCATGCTAAATTAGTGAGAAATCAATGCTGAAAATGATAAATGTATTAACAGGAACAGCTAAAGTAAGAAAAACTTAAAGGCAAAGTAAATTTTGGGAAATACACTTATTCACATTCTTGCAGAGAGTTAGATGAGAGGAATGATACAATTGTCACATGTGTAAGGTAAATAGGTACCTAAACCAGCAATCTGTTAGCTTAGCTTAAAGACTAGAAACAAGGGAAACAACTAGCCTGGCTCTATAACAAAATGTGCCTGCCAGTACCTCTAAAACTCACAGATGATGACCTTATGTCTTGCTTGTCAAAGCTGTACAAAAACTGAAGTATGAAAACAACTTAAGTTGCACCAGACTTTATCTGAACTCTTAGCTGGCTGCAAATGATCAGAGCCAACAAACAGTTTAGCACATAATCCCCTCATAAAACCACAAAGTGTTGTTTCTTACATCACTTCTCATACAGATTAAACAAAATAAATATAATATGTTAAGTCCTGAACTTTAGCTGAACTGCTAAATGGATTTTTAAACCTTCAGATAGAGCCACACTGGCTGTTTCCACCTGTTTCCTGTCTTTATGCTAAGCTAAGATAAGTTAATTGTTTGTTTGATAAGTTAAATGATTGTTGGCTCCAGCTTCATATTTAATGTACAGGCACAACAATGGATTCAATTCTCTCATCTAACTCTTAGCAAGAAAATAAGTTGATTTCCAAAAAAGTCCAGCTTTATTTTTAAAGCCAAAGATGGTCACCATTGGTTTGAGGCTACAAAGGCTTTGGGAAACCATCTCCTGTTCCACACAGTGTCTGGTCTGTGCTCAGAGGACCAGTTCAGCTCTCCTTTTATGAAAACTGTTTCTCTTCAGAAGACTCTTGTAGGTCCCTCTAACCAGTGATAATCACTACAGATCTGGTGTAGCTCTGAGTCTCTACACTGGAGACTGTGCTTATTGCTAAATGTAAAGTAAAACATCATTATATTAAAAGAGGTCTGAAATAACGTAGAGAAAGTAACAACAGTGCTCTAATACTTGGTCATTAATATGTTATGATATAGAGGTAGTGATTTGAAACATTGATTGACAGTAATAAAAAACACTGAACAATAAACATGGGCATGGAAAAATAATCTCATTTTAGGAAAGTATACAGTAAATACAGAGCTTATCACACCGGTCACCAAAACAAAGATATTTTGCTTCAGTGCTGACACACAAATAATTCAGACTCTGGACTGCATGCTGTTTCTGGATGACTATTCTACAATCAACTGGATGGCACACATCCTGGGGGAGAGTACGGACATGAATCATGAAGTTTAAATGCTCCTGTTTCTCATGGAGATAAGACATCAGTGGTCAAATTTAACACAGGACACAGGCTCTGAATGAGCACCAAACATGGGTTTCAACTCCCTGACCTGCCATTATGGGTCCCCCTCCTGTCAGGAGAGCACTGGCTTTGGCTCGCCGCGCTGACTGACAAGTTGTTCAAGACCTCATCCTTTCTGAAACAGTCACAGTTCAAATCCCAGTTCCCACCCAGCAGCCAAGTTTCAGCCAGAATATAAACAAGTTATGTTCCAAATGAATAATACTCTTTCCATCCCAGCTCGGACATGCAACAACAATAGCCATGTTTTCCTTTCACTGCACTGGGAATGACTATTTGCTTGGTTTCTGTGTGCCACAGACAATACTGCCCCACTGATTGTTAGAATTGCACATTATAATGCATATAGTCTGTGGCCTGTGTGAGCCATCTCTCTTTAAATTCAATACATTTGGCTATGGGTTTAAATGCTGGCTGTGTACATATCCGGCCACCCAGTGTGACTCTTTATACATATGGATTAAAGGTGAACAAAAACAAAACAAAGACACGTATAGAATATCTTTCAATCAACTTGTCAGAATTAAAATAAAATATAAAACAGAGGCTTATAATACAATACTTAATGAAGATTTTGCAGTAAATTGCAAATATAAACAACTGACATAACATTTCCACACTTGGTGTGGCATAAACAAAAGCTTATGGCTACCTGCATTCATTTCACATTGCGTGTGTGTTTGTATAAATGTACGTATGTGTGCCTGCTATAGCGCAGAGTGGGTGAGGTTGTATGTGTGTTTGCAGTGTCGCTCTGTGTTCCTGGTATTATAAGTGTGAATGTTTGTGTGTGTGAAGCAGTGGACAGCCGCCAAGCCTCATTATTGTCATGCACCTCACTGCCTCAAAGAGAGGCAAAGAGAGACAAAGCAGCCGCTTTCAATTGAGCTGAGAAAAGATGGAGACAAAAGGCCTAAAATTAAACAAATGCAGGAAAGCGGCTTGGAGAGCCAGCCCGTGGTCAAACGCTTTGAATGAGAGAGAAGGGCTGCAGGGATAACCCACCAGGGTCTTTCAGCGGGGAGACCACACAGATACACACATCCAGCATTCAGCTCAACTACTGGTCCACGCACAATGTGGACCTATAGATGTGCATGTGGTATGTCTATGTGGTCTAAGTGTGTATATGTCCACCAGTAAGCTGTTCCCATTTTTTTTTTCTAAATCCTCCACACAACAATAGGCCTTGACTTAACCCTGTAATCCGTCTCCATGTGCAGTTTCCTTGTCAGAAACATTCACAACTTCCACTGAAGTGTCACACCTAATACACTTGTGTAAGACCAATCCACTGCATCTCTCTTGTTTTACTATAGTATGATCACGGATCTTTGTATTTATAAATGCAGCTGTTGGTGAAAAGAACTTCTTGGAGTCCATGCAACAAACCACAGCAAGACAGCAGTACGATTTGGCGTGTGTGATTGTGTTCATCAAACTAGATTCTGTCTGGTTATTTCCACTTCTCTCAAAGTCACCATTTTTCTGCTACTTTCATCCATCCACTGATGGAATGCGTTTTATGACTCTACATGTCTGTACACGCATATGCATATGGACTGACAGAGGCTTTCACAGAAGCGAGGAGCTGGTAAGATGCCTGCCTGCACACACACATGCATGTAGATCTACAGTATATCAAGGCTGTTATGCTGCATGTGTTGCTTTACTAGAGCACTACTACAGGTTCTTATGTGTGCTTCCACTAATATTTCCTTCAGTGTGAGATACTAGATGTCCAAGAGTCTGTATGCTCCATGGCAGTGATGCTGAGAGTGGGCGATGAATCAGCAGGGGTTGGTGGAGGGAAGGAAGTGTAAAGGAAGTGGGCAGACACATCAAGTCCTCATTGCATCACACCTGGAACAATACACAATAAAAAGAGGAAGGTGCTAGCATGAAATCTCTTTTGAAGCTGCGAGGCTGATGGATTCTACAACTGGAGTGGGTGATCAAATATAGGCATCAAAAGAACCTTAGAAGCAATGTGACATTCGGTGTCAGATCATTTGAGAAGTACTGACCCTACAACTAATAGTCAACCCACTTTATCCTTAAGTTAGTGCTGCTCACAGCAAAACCTTCAGAAATTCAAACAACTCATCAACTGGTTGAGCTGCAGAAGTAGATATTTTAAAATCTGTGGAAATGTGTAAGAGAGGAGCAATGGGAAGATGTTCTGAAACGAGAATATCCAGCTTCAATTTATACTAGGCTCCAGGTGCTGCATTTATTGCATTTTTCTAAAGTTAAAGTTGTTCAAATGCAGCATGATACAGATCCCTAAATCTTAACTCCTAAATTAATAAATTCTTGGAGTTCTGTTTTCAGTGCTAATCCCTCTACCTTCCCCTGTCTGTGTAATATGTTTGACTTATATATCAATGAACAGAATTTCAAGCCACAGATTTATTTGTTTGGTTGAGTGTAGACTGACCTGCAGCGGAGAGGGTTGAGCCTCCGGCCTTTCTGGATGCAGCTTTCAGCACTGATGGTGCAGCGACACTGACATGACGTTGCATCCAGTGCCCACTTCCTTCCTCTACAGGGGCGGCACTGAGGCCTTGTAGAGGGAGAGGAAGAAATGTTGGTGGGAGGAGGTGATGGAGGAGAAGGAGAGGATGGGGGAGGAAGAGTTGTTGGAGCTTGGGTCCTGGATGGAAGAGGGGTGTAAGAACAGTGTGGTTAACTGCTAAATGTAATTGTTCCACATTGTCTGTGAGCTCTTTGAGCTAAATGTCCAGAGATCGCTACAGTTGTAAACTGATTCATTTCAGTGTGGACTAAAGTGGTGGATCAGCTGACAGACCAACAGACTGACATTGCAGTTGTTAGAGTCACACTATGGCATCAAATCAGGATCTAAAAGATTTTGGCATTTTGCTGCTGATCCCATGTGACATCATTGGATTTACTAACAATGAATGTGGGGCTTGTTTAAACATGCGCAGAGCTCATCTGAATGCAGTGTGTGGGAGATGTGTGACTAATGTGGGATAGTGTGTCCTTAGCTGGTGACAAACTATCTGCGCTTTCTGTCCATCTGTCTCTCTATCTGTTGCCATAGCATGGGGCCTTCAGTTTCTCCTCTAGATGTGCTGTACTCTCTCTCTGAGTCTGAGAAAGTTGCTTGTGTCAGTTGGTCCATTAACTGGAACTAGTTCTGCCTCAGACTTCCCGTGAACCCAGCAGCCTTAATGAAGCCACTTAATGAGGCACAGAGGGACCATCTTTGTTCAGATCCTGAGGACCACGCCTGCTGCTGGCATGGACAGAGGAGGAAGCATTTGGAAGCAAATTACACAGATTTCACCCCTGCCAAATTCTGAATAAAGCGTGTTCTGAATGATGGATGGGTGTCGAGGGTCATCACCCTCAGACTGAGCCGCCTCTGGCCCCTGGAGGCCGGAAATGACTGACAGCAAAGTGAAGGGGAAGCAGACGAAGATAAGAAAATATAGGAAAAAGCGTGCAAACTCTTCTGCCCTTCACTGCTAAGGACTGAATGATACATGTTTCTTTCCCTCTTCCTTCAGATCACAGTGTAACAAATTCATAGTTTCAAAATATTTTTGTCCTTGAATGTCTCTAACCAACCTTCTGAACAGCCTCACTGCAGTATTATATAATATGCCATGCTATTGATGACAGTAAAAGTTAAATATTAATGAGCAGTTACATACTGCATTATTTTTGTAAAGCTAACCTGTTTATATGTTTCGTATTGAACGATGGACTCCAGGAAGTGAATGTATGTCAATGTCATGTCCTCTGAAATGACTGAAACATGAGTGCGTGTGACAGTGCGTGCACGTCTTTCTGTGGTTGTGTGGATACATTTTAGTTCGATACCATCGCTGTGTGAACATTTTAGCACTGCAAGGACATTTTCTCTGGTCCTCTCCTCTTCAAAGGGCTGTTTGTTAGGAATTTGTTTTAGGTTAGAATTAAGCTTAGGTTAGGGTTGGGGTTAGACAACTAGTTGTGATGAGTAAGGGGCTACGGAATGCATCATATGAATGAGCATCCTCACAGCTGTAGAAAGACAAACGTGCGTGTGTGAGCGTGACCTTGCCTGCTGTGGCTGTAAAACAAACTGTCCTTCAGTAATAATGGTGTCCAGATAACCAAGTTTTTTTCTCATCCAAACATTCACAGTGTGACTGAAAAATACTGACTAACCTGGGGAAAACTTAAGTCTTGTAACTGAGTTTAGAAAAATCAAATGTGTGTACTGAATATTCAACATACGCAGCTACGGTGGCTCCACTTGTCCTTCGACCGGACTTTTCCCGCTCCTTTTTCTTGCTCTTCCTTGTTGGCTTCAAATAGGGCCTGAGAATATCAGACACAAATAACATTACAAACATATAATAAAATGGTCACAAGGTTATGATAAAACTAGTTGTGTTCAGTTGTGAGTTAGACTGAATATGAATTTATATTTAGTATCCAACAACAAATACCAAACAAGTTTCCTGGCATCTACTGAGTTAATATACTGAACATAAATTAAATTGACCAAATGTGCTTTATGTCCCAGCTGAATCTTTACAGTTTGTATTATTTACTTACAAGTCATAGGTTTGTCTGAGTTTATTCAGATAAAAGTCTTGTTTGAAAACACTTCATATTTGATAAGTTTGGCTTATTTAAATAAGAAAGGGGCTTTGGAGAGTAAGTGCATCTTAATCAGTTTGTCTAGACTAGTACTGGCTACTGTGAATGTTCTGACAGTTGTGTACTTTATGACGTTTGTGTTCTTTGTTGTAAAAATGTTTTTACACCGTCCTTTTGTCCAGTTTGCTCTTGAAGGTATTGGAGGCAGAAGCTGACAAGAAAATTCACTAATTGAGCCTAAAGCAATGTCTTTGATACCATTATGAATATTTTAAAGACTGTAGGATCAGTGGTGGAAGTACATTTACACAGGCACTCTACTTTACTTCTACTCCACTGCATTTTAGAGGGAAATTCTACACTTTTCTATTCACTACATTTATCTAACAGCTTGAATAACAAGTCATTTTGCAGGAGATTTTTTAAACTTTTGATGAGGATGTGCAATACAGTGCATTATTGTACAGTAAATTAAACCACTCAGCAGTTTCATCATGACCAACTTCAACCTTAAAATGCAGTAATTTTTTTATCCTACTGTAAAATAAAAGTCTGACAGGGACTATTCTGTTACATAATGTTTTTTTTTTGTTTGTTTGTTTTACTTTAACTGATGATAATACCTATGCTTTTCTAAAGTACAATTTTGAATCCAAGACATTTATTTCTAATTGACTATTCTTACAGAGAATTTTTTCCACCACTGTGTAGGACAATCCAATAATTGTCCATTATTATCTCAATACACTGCCTCACATTAGCAAAAATCAATGAAGAAAGCAAAACAATGAGATCAAAAACATTTGACTTATTAACTTTGCATTTTTAGGCCATGTCTTGTCCACATTGCCTGTTGTTTACCAAGCTCTGGCCCCTCTGATTTGTTGATTCATATCCTCCTTATCATGCCAGTGTCCAGCCTTTATTGCGCACAGTCTGTTTTACTTTAATGTACACTGGTGCCCTTAGCAGCAAAGCGCATCTGCCTGTAGCTCTGGCTTCAGTTTTTCCTGATTTAACTTCTTTGTCTCTGGTGTAAACTGTAATAAACTACATCAAATTATGGGGACAGTGTTTACCATCTTAGCCCTGATATTATTAATCACAGAGTGTACTGCAGCTGTTGTTGTCTTTGGAGCTCTAATTTACTACCATGGATGCGTGACTCTGCTCCCAGTTTGTGAGAGAACACATGGCAGAGGAGATAAAATCATCACTATGGTGACAACAGGATGCGGGCCATCCCGGGGGACAATGGCAGAGAGTCATGCAGATGTTAACCCTCCAAAGGGCACAAACACACACATATACCACATAGAAACATATAATATTTCTGCGTGAACTATGTGGCAAATAACATGTACCCATACACAAGTACATGTAGAGATCCAGTAAATCCACACACATAAACCCTGACTGAGTTTTCAAAAGCAAAACCATGCACAAACATACATTGGAATCCTGTATTTATGTCCACATCCTAACAGGAAGCAGGGGGACATAAACATTAAAGATGCAATCATGTAATTATTTGGTTGGATCCGTCAATATGAGGCACACAAACAAACATCAGGGATCCAACGTGTTTCTTTCACAGTGTACAGCTGTCAGTCCCAGCTGACACCCAATAAAACCTGAACAGTACAGTGTCTAGTTTTTTTACTAAGGATTTTTTTTACTTTTAATATCCAGATGTTACTCTAGGGTGAGTTGTTACTCTAGTTAATCCATCCCAGTGAAAATGTTGTGAATTTTTAGGGGGGTTACTACATCATGATGAAATGTCCCAGTGAGCCCGCTCGTTAAGATTCGTACCCGATAGCCACAGTATATCTGGTCTGATTCCTCCTTTACCATGTTATTGCTGCATGTTTCATGCTATTCTCAATTATTTCAAAAAGTACAATTTTTGTTTTGAGATGATACATTTGAAACACGTAACTGTTTGGAAACACTGTTGTTTGTGTAGTGAAGGCACAACACAGCCTGCTGTGTAAAAGCACTGTACTAACAGCCTAGACTGTAATCTGCATTTTATTAGTTTTTATTGGGCGTTGCTGCTTTTCCTGTTCAAAATGCACCAGTCAAATTCTTCACTATGTTTAATTGTAACTAAAGCTGGAAAGCAAACACTCTTTTGTGAATTGACATGACACTGATGCTGTCAAATTTGGCAATTTCTTGCATTTAAAAGGTGAAATATTGGCCTGAAATGTTTGACTTTTTAAACTAGAAAGAATTTCCAAAATAATCAAAACAACTCAAAAGACAAAATATCTGAAATCACATAAAGTATGCTGGAATTTGATAATGAGCACAAAAGCAAGTAGCTAATATGTGTAGTATCTATAAAGCTGCTAATGGTTACTTGTGGCTCATCAGGATATGCTGTTTCTGACAGAACTGCTCATCTGAATATCTCTTCCTCATTAGTAGCATCTTCATTAACTTGGGCATGGGGTGATATAACGGTTTGATAACATCATTAGTAAAGATTTAACATTACGGTCTGACAAGAACAGTTCTCCAAATTTAAAGACAGCAACAGAACAATTAAACCCCAGAAAGAAAGCGATAAAGCAAATTAGGTGGTAGATACCAGGTGTGTTACCTTGTAGTAGGTGTTGGCAGCAATTGTTCTTTTAATCTGCACACAGATAAAATAGACAGCGTCAGTATAAAGGTGCGGTGAGATCAATGAACAGGTGCACCATCCATCTCTACCTTTGTGCAAAGGGTTTTTATTACCTGCACTCACACTGGCTGTGCTCAACAAAGGGCAACTCAATGAGCTCGTGTTTCATGAACGAGGTCCTCATTAGCTGTACAAGGATCAGAAGAAATCGTATTAAACCACAGACATCCTCTCACTGTTTAACTAGTGGGCATTAAGCGTGTCTCTGTACCTCCATGGTGAGTGTGTGTGTGAGCGTGGGCACACACTCCAGGGCCTCGTCAGCACAGCAGCCGCCACATCGTCTCACTGACACACAGGATGGGATAAAGAGGTGATGTGTCTCCCCAGGCAGCTCACGCCAAACCTCCACCAGAGTTTCCCGGGGCTCACAGCCACTCCGTGAGTACACCTCCAACCACCTCCGCACTGGTCCATTGACACAGACAAATAATGTGCTTTAATTTTACTCTTTTTGAGGCATGTAGTTTGACTCTATATACACATGGAGCATACCTTCTCGACCCTCTCTGGATTTAGGGGAGTCTGCTGGTCTCCAGTGAGCTAGCTGAAGAGAGAAATAAAAATAATTTAAAAAAATTATGTGAAAGCACTGTTTCAGTAAGTTCTGAGTTTCCCAATCATGTCTACCTGTTATATAGCATTGTCATTTTATTTCAGTTTAAATTGACACAACAGAGGTGAAGTGAAAAAAATTGAGTTGATGAAAAAGTTATTTTCTATATCTAAAATATACTCATATATCCTCAGTGTGTTTATTGTTGATGTCTGTGATAAACCAAAACTAAAAGCCCAAATGTATGAGATAAATCCAGCAGATAAAAGGTGTTCACCTACAAGAGCATGAAAAACAGAATAACTGAAATCACATCAAGTTAAAGTAAACATTTTGTCAAAAAAAAGTAATGAGTAAATGTTATAAGCAACATTCAAAACTTAAAAGGTTTTCACAGATTACCCTCATGCTGTAGTATTATAATAATCTATTAATAATTATTTGGCCAAGCATGTTACACACAAGGAATTTGTTTCCGGCACAGAACCGAGGCAGCCATCTGCGGCGCCAACTCAACCAATGGCTCTAACCATCGGGGCCAACTTGGGGGTTCACTGTCTTGCCCAAGGACACTTCGACATGTGGACTACAGGCACCGAGATTCGAACCACCGACCCTCCGTTTGGGAGACGACTGCTCTACCCACTGAACCACAGTCGCCCCCAATATTAGCCTCAATGTTTATATTTAATTTTTTAAAGTTCACTTTACAAATGTGTTGATCAGTATAACAGGACCTATACAGTATCTCTTCTTATTGCTCAATAATCATGTTTTTTACTTCGATGTTTAGGGTCATTGTCCTGCTGCATCTCCCAGCTTGTTCTGAGCTTCAGCTTGCGGACAGCCACCCTGACATTATCCTGTAGGACACCTTGATAAACTTGGGAATTCATTTTCCCCTCCACAGTGGTAAGTGGCCCAGGTCCAAAGGCAGAAAAGCAGCCCCAGATCATGACGCTCACTCCACCATACTTTACTGTTGAGATAATGTTTTCATGTTGGTACGTGCTTCACACCATACCTCTATGTGTTCTTCCCAGACAATTCTACCTTTGGTTCATCTGTTCACAGGACATTTTCCCAGTAGTGTTGTGGAGTGTCAGTGTGGTCTTTGGCAAACTTCAGGTGTGCTGCAATATTGATTTTGGAAAACACTTGCTTCTTCTGTGGTGTCCTGCCATGGATACCATGTCTGTTCATTATTTTGCATGTGGGTGACTCATAAGCAGAGACATTAACCAACTTCAGTGAATCTTCAGGTCTTTAGAGTGGGTGACCACTTCCACGGAGAGTAGACACATTACCAAATCATCTCTATTTATAAACAGCATTTCTAATGACCATTTTATTCAGAAAACCAGGACATTGCAAACAGTACCATTACTTTTTCTTGCAACTGTAGCTTGATGTCAAACAGCCGCAGCATCAAAATTTTGTTTACCATTTAACAATGTCTAATATAAAGACTTATCAGTCACTGGGGCCATTTTACTCAACCTTTTTTAAAAACTTTATATTTTGCTGATGATTCTTCTGCTCTATCCACTTCAGCAGGGCCTATATTAGTAATAAAGTATTGTTACATGGTTGTTCTGATACATTTACTTAACTAAAAGGTTGGAATACTTCATTCAATACAGAAAACACAGAAAAAGAAAGTGAACTTTATGACTATCTCTTTTATTCTCTTTAACACACACACTGCCATTACTGGGCCTGTGTGTGTGAAGACTAATGCCACTTGTAAGGAAATGTAGACTTTGCTCAGTTGCCCCTTTTTAACTGCTCCACCCCCTCAGACACACACTGGTTTGGCCCACATTGATTCTGAGTTCAGCTGAGGCCATTTTATTACTAGTAGGATATGAGCTGAAGGAAGTGTGTCTTTTCTTTACCAGGCTTTGAGAGGGCTAAGACTACTTTGCTTTGGCAACCACATCTGCAGAAGAGCTGGTGCACACATACTCCCGAGTGCCAGCCTTGTGCCATCTGAACTGGCATTACTGTCTGTGAACTAACATTTCAAAACCACTCCAAGAGCACACTGTCCATGTGCATGTGTGAGACTCTGCCCTACAGCAATACACCAGCTCTCTCCCACACTGAGCTTCAGCTCTAATGGAGGAAAAGGATGGCCCCTTTTCAAACAACATGACATGACAGCATGACAGCAGAGAGTCTCAGGTGTGAGACAGCAGCTGTGAGCAGGTAAAGAGACGTTTCTGTGTGCCATGTAGTGTCTAGGATGATGAATCACTAAATCGTATAGCACACAGCTCAAAGTCAGGGCTGGATCCCACAATGCCTCTAAGCACCGCATGTTCCTGATAGAGGTCTCCAGACATAAATAAACCAGCACATGCAGGTCTCTCCATGTACATGTGCCAGCCACTGTGTGTGTGTGTGTGTGTGTGTGTGTGTGTGCAAAATGAGCCCATATGTTAGATTGATGATCAGTACAGTCAGTTAACACATCATAACCACTTTCTAATGAGGCAAGTCAATGGCTTTAGAGCTGATTGATTGATAAATCTATTAGTCAGAAGATTAAGTGCTTGAATATCTTTGGGTTTGAGACTACTTGGCCAGACATAACAAGAAATCTGAAGACCTCTCTCTGGACACTGAAAAAATTACATGGGATTTTTTTTGTACTATTTTCAAACATAATTACAGACTAATCGTCTAATATGTTAATAAAAAGAATCAACAAATAAATCAATATTGGTTGGTTGCAGATGTAAAAGGACTTATCTTTGGTTATTAAATAATCTGTTAATCATTTATAGATCATATATAGCCTATAGCTATTCCCGAGAACAGTTTTTGGGTTGCCAGGTTATAGAAAATCCTCCACCAGCACAGCAGTTGCTTCATCTTTTTAGCTAGGTAACTCTTTGGTTCATCAGGAATAGCCTACACCTCAAATGGAAAATACGCATATTTGCTTTCTTACACAGAGTTAGATGAAAAGATGGATACTAGTAGTCTGTTTAGTAGGCTATATGCTATATCTACAGCCAGCAGCAAGTTAGCTCAACTTAGCTTAGCATAAAGGCTGGAACACTGCAACACAGCTAACCTGCTCTGTCCAACTGTTAAAAAATATGCCAGCAACTCTAAAGCTCAGTAATTTACATTGTTTATTAAATCCATATAACTATATATAAAACAATTTACCATTTTACGAGGGTCCACTATTCTTAGATGTCACCACTTGCCTCGCAACTACCAGAGTTAGAGGCTCCAGCCAAAAAAATGTTGTCTTTACACAGTTTCTAGATAAATTAAACAAATGATATTAAAAATGTCAGCGAGTGAGCTTTAGAGGGGCTGGTAGGTGGATTTTGTTATTATTGGACAGATCCAGGCTAGCTATTTCACCTTGTTTCTAGCTTATATGCTATGCTAAGCTAACTGGAGTGTTGTATGTTACAAACATGCTAAATAACCATATCTGCCAAATTGATGAACAGGTCCTTTAATATTAATGTTGTTAATAGATTTATTCCTGGTCCACACTCTTGCAACTACAGTTTTCAATATCTAATTGGCTGAACAGTCTTTTGAGGGTCCTCAAAGAATTAGCTAATAAGACAAATTTATAACCTGGCAACCCAAAAGCTGTTTTTATGAAAGGCTTAAGATTAGGCTATAAGTCAACGAC